GATCCACTTAGTCTACTATTTGAATCCTGTACTGCAAGTCCTTGTGAATTGCCCTTCATCGATTATGATCCTATAATACTGGGATTTCTCCCTTGTTTCAACCTTCTCAGGGTATTGGTCATCATCCATGATGAAATGCTACGGTTCGACTCATTTCCACTTGTGATTACAAAGTTATTTCATTTGAGATATCTCCATGTTGAACATTTACGCTTGAATATTCCTGAATCAATCTCAGAGCTTCTGAATTTGCAAACTCTTATTTCTAACTGTAGTCCTGTATCGGGAATGACTTTACCTAAGAAGATATGGTTGTTGAAGAACTTGAAGTACATATCTTTAGGAAGAAACACTTATTTACCAAGTCCTAGAATAAATAAGAATCTTGTGACAGTGATGCCAAATCTAGAGAAATTTTTCGGTCTTTGTTACACAAGTTGTACAAATGAAGTCTTTTCTAGCATTCCCAATCTAAAGATATTGACCATTCATGTACCTATTACATTTAAAGAAGAAATTATTTCCTATCGTCTCTTGGATATGTCGAGCTTGAGAAAACTTGAGGCATTCAAGCTTTCCTGGAACAGTAGTTGGGAAAACCCCATCAAGACATTTGTTTTTCCAACATCAGTTAGGAGGTTGACTTTATCTTTTTGTAGTAAGTTCATTTGGGAAGAGATATCATCAACTTTTATCATGTTGCCAAATCTTGAAGAGCTCAAACTTAAATATTGTGAAGCCGATGATGATGTATGGATAATGAGCGATAAAGTCATATTCAAAAGCTTGAAGTTGTTGTTACTGAGCGATCTAAATCTTAAGCGTTGGGAAGCTAGCAGTGATAACTTCCCTAATCTAAAACGTCTTGTTCTGAAGATATGTGAGGACCTGCAAGAAATTCCAACAGATTTTGGGGAAATTTGTACTTTGGAATCGATTGAGTTACATGATTGCAGCGCTACTTCTGAGGATTCTGCCAGAAATATCGAACAAGAACAAGAGGACATGGGAAATAATATGCTTAAGGTCTACATCCGTAACAGCAACAGTAAGTTATAATTCTCTCTGAAAAGTTCTTCGATTCTTCACCTCATTTTTATTAAATCTTTACCTCCTTGAAATTAAGATGATGACTTGTACTTTTTATCTTTCTTATGCAGGGAATGGAAGCTTATTTTGAGGGATCATCTAATATCGCGGCCAATTGTGTTTTTGTATTTTGTAAATGGTAACTATTGATGTACTGTAATCTCTATTTTGTTTTCGAAATAAATAAGCATGTTCAATCTACTATGCATTGCCTGTGGAGTGTAAGATTTGCTGGTTTCACACTGTTTTCCTCAGTTCATGTATAATACATGTTTTTCGTTGACGTGTTGTTCATACTTTTGGGAAATTGATGTCCATGCCGTCCAAAAATGAGAGCATATATGCTCTTCACTCTAACGGAAGGCTAAATAGGAATACGTGGCGCAATCTTATCCGCCAATCCGATATTGAATAAATATCAGATCTGTAGATAAGATTATGACACGTGTATATCCGTTAATTCTGTTAGACAGCTATAGTGAAAGCAGTTAGGCAGTTATAACTGATTTCTGTAAGATTAGTTATCCATAGCTGTACATAATGTCAGGCCAATATTAGAATTCATGTGAAAGCTAAGATACCAAGTTAATAAGGCCTTTGTTGAGAGTAACATGTCTTTCAACAAAAACAACGATGGATTAAAACAACAGTTTTACACGAACATACCAAAGCAAATACAAAGATTACAGAATAGGAAAGATGCAAACAACAGTTTTACGCAACTACAAAGATAATAGAATAGGAAAGATGCAAACAGTTTCACAACGGAGAAAAAAGAAAAAACAATCTACATAAAGGGGAACTCGAGTTGCAGCAGACCTAGGCTTATTTCAAAATGACAATACTCCAGTTAGCTATTTGTCTGATGACCCCTGGCTTCCAGCAAGCTCGATGTCCAAGTCGTCCCCTGCAGAAAGAAGGAAAATTATGTTAGAAATAAGCAAATGGTATTTTCTACTCCAAATCATGGTCGAGCCATATATATACACACGCGTAAGAGCAGACTGCAATTCATAATGTAAGGATTATTAGTGAATTTCAACTGACCTTTCAATATCACTGTGAAACCTTGGATTAATTTTCAGGTGGGTATATGCTTAGCTTGAGTTTCATGCCTTTAGATGTCTTGCTATCCCGAACATTTTTTGCGGATTTCACCGCTTTGCTTGTGTTATCCAGCCTCATCTCTACAAGGCTGGGTATATCAGCTAGCTCAAGTGGCACAGCATCAAGCTTATCACAAGAGATAAGAACCAGTTGCCTAAGTGCGGGGAAGTTAACAACCGAAGCCTCCCAAGATTCTAATTCTGACCTTTCAATCCACAAGACTTGGAGTGCGCTAAATCCACTCTTTGGCTCCCAGAAATCACCCGTGAATGCATTTTCTTTAAACTTTAGGACCTCAAGAGATTCCAACGTCCCCAATTTCTCCGCCTCACTCCAAGTAAACCTTGTGTTTGTCAGAGTTAACTTCTTCACCGTATGTACCAGTTCGGAGAACGTTGATGGAAGGTGAAGTGCTTTATTCATGAAAAGAACATCATTCAACAATTTCAAATGTTCCAGACACTGTAGCTCTTTAAGATTGTTGATACCACCCTTGTAAGCACCAAGAAAAGCCGCCATTTGCCCTCGAATGCTCAATTTTTTCACATTACACGCCTTTGCTAGCACTTCTTTCTCACAACTTTCTGGTGTAACCATAGAAAGAGTTTGTAGACAAGAAGGTTTACCTGTCGTGGTAGTCGGGGATGGCAATTTTGCAGGTATGTTGGTGTGGAGATGCCTCAACTGTAACAAGTTCCATATATCGGCTTTAACTTCAAGAGTGGGCTCTAAGGTACTTGTATTAAGTATTAGAGTTTGTAAATTCCAGAATTTACCAAAGGTAGGAGGGAGGGACTTAAAGTCACCTGAGATAGCAATATACCTCAAATGAAACAAATTTTTGAAGTCTTTGGAGAAAATAAATCTGAGAGATTCGACATCCATGACTCTCATAAGTGGAAATGCTTTGTGAATGAGTTTGGTTTCATTAGGAGACAAGTTGATTGGCTTTTGTTTTGAGGAAAAACAATAGAAAGATCTGACATGTTCTGCAAAAGGTGTTGTGGAGAGAAAGTCAGACAGATTAGATGGTTGAATACACAAGCGACGGCAAGTATCTGGATCCAGTTTAGATTGATCAGGTTCTTCAAAAAGCCATTTGTTACTAGCCTCCTTTTTGCAGAACTGATACAACATGTCGTGAAGACGACATGTTTTTATTTGACCATCAGACCTCTTTTGCATTATTATTACTAAATTTCTGTTGAGAAGGTCTGTCAAATAAAACTCTGCTATCTCCTCTACTTGTAGAGTGGACTCAGGCTGCGGCTTTATCAACCCCTCGGCTATCCACAAACGAATCAACTTCCAACAAGGGATATCAAAGCCTCGAGGAAAGACACCACAATACAAAAAGCACATCTGCACTTCTCGGGGCAAATAATCATAACTCATCTTCACATATTTCAGGCAGCTATCTTCGGTATGCTCACCAAGATATTGCACCACACTTTTTTCAACTCTTTCCCAATCCTTTTTGTCCGAACGACCTCTTAATGCTCCTGCAATCACCACTACTACAAGTGGTACTCCACCACATTTTCTTGCAATTTCTGTCCCAGTTACCACTAATTCATTTGGACACCCGCCCCTGCCAAAAACTCTCATTACCAACAACTCAAAACTTTCTTCTGTCTCCAAGAATTTCAGCTTATGAGGTTCTTTATTGGCAAAGAAACCAAGACGTGTGTCACGTGTGGTCATCATAATCCGATGACCCTTTTTGTTTTCTGCGAAAACTTTCATCACGTGATCAATGACATCGTCCTCCCACACATCATCTAAAACAATGAGACATCTACCTCCTTTCTTGATATATCCACCTATTGCCTTAGCCAATGTGTCCACATCATCATTGAGATGATCTTCTATGTTTTTTTTGAAGAACTTAAGAATCCTAAGATAAATATCCTTTGCTTTGTATTCCTGACCTACGTAAACCCAAACAATGCTGTAAAATTCATATGTAAGCTTAGGATCATTATAGATTTTTCTTGCCAGTGTAGTTTTTCCAAGTCCGGGCATCCCCACCACGGGGATAATATCGACACTATCCAACGGTCCTTCAACAAGTCGCTTGATCACTTTGTTAGCTTCGTCATCAAACCCGACCACAGCATCATTCTCCAAAGAAGGACCCTTTTGAACATGTAAATGAATCACATCAGAAAACAGAATGGCTAATCTTCACAAGTTAGACATCTAAAGTAAGTCACATTTTACCAAGGCTAATGTAAACATTAAAAGATAAATTATTACCGAATATAAAAACGTGTAATTCTTCTTCGAACTGACCAAAAAGATGACTATATAAATTGAGACAGTGGAAGCATAAAATTGATTAGCTATTTTGTCAATTGAAATATAATTATGAGAAGGGAAAAAGTTCAAAAACACCCCCTTAACTTCAGTTTATTAGTTTATTTCGAAGTTGTTTTAATCCTTGCGTTATACTTGTCACCTCTATCCCTCGGATGGAAACCCCAAATCAATTAAAAGTACGCAATTTTGATTAGAATGACCCAATTTTTTCTTTTAATCCAAAACTCGACCCACTACACCAAATGAATTCATATAAAATTAAAACTCTAAACTCATCTCTCGAATACTTTTCCTCTCCTTCCTCCATGGAGAAATAGATTTGAGATTTTAATTTGGTATGAATTTATTTGTTTAGATTTGAGATTTTAATTTGGTATGAATTTATTTGTTTTAGTGGGTTGGGTTTGGATTAATTAAGAAATTGGGTCGTTTTAATTAAAATTGAATATTTTAAGTTGATTTGGAGTTTTCTATCTAATAGAGAAGTACGGGTGATATATATAGTAACAACAAGGTAAAAATAACTTCATTTTAACCGTAAGAGCAAAGTCAACAAATAAAAATTTATTTGTGTAGATTCAAAATTGAAAAAAACTAATATAAGTTGAGTTCAAATTAAAAGATACATTCATATAGTATGTTAAACCTAATTATTACAAAGAAAAAAAAGGCTAATATACTTCTCATAGCTCATATCATTATACCATTTTCTTCTAAAATAAGTGATTTTTTTTTAAAAAAATTATATTTAATTGTATGAATTTATTTGGTCTTTCTCACATGATTTTTTTTACTTCTTTGATTCAATTACTAATTTAAATTTATATTTTTCTAATTTTCTTATAAAAGTTATTATAACTACCCTTTTTTTTTACTAATACAAAATTAAATTAAAATATAACAACAAAATATAGTTTTTTTTTGGTAATACAAAATATAGTTTTAAACTATAATATAGCCACAAACAAATATTAGTTTTTTAAAAAAATCTTACTTTTTTCTCTTTTTCCATTCACACTTATTTCTTATAATAAAAATAAACATTCTTACTTGGGAAAAAACTCAAATATGTCATTAAACTTTCAGGCTCATTTATGACATTAGTTAAAAGTTTGACTCATTTATGCCACTGTTAAAGTAAAGACACATTCATACCATCATTTTTTAACAATGATTTTACAAAACCATTTTTGACACGTGTCATCAATTTTTTAATAAAAAAATCAAAAAGAAAAATAATTCAGAATTTTTATTTTTTGTATTAAATAAGTTGATGACGCGGTCAATTATAATTCGACCATGTCATTAATTTTTATTTAATAAAAAAATTTAATTCATTTTTTTTCTTCAGAATTATGATTTCTTTTATTAAAAAAAATTGATATAATTTGCCACGTATCAAAAATGGTTTTGCAAAACCACCGTTAAAAAAATAATGACATGAATAAGTTTTTTTTTAATGATAATAACATAAATGAGCCAAACTTTTAACTGATGGCATGAATGACACTTTTATGCTGAGAGTTCAATTACATATTTAAGCCTTTTTCCTTCTTACATTATTAAAGAATAAAGTAAAAACTCAATAATGATCATCAACTAAGTAAAAAGAAATAATTTTAAATATTTTCTTTTTTTTTATCCCAATTTGACACCCCCGACCCCAAACCCCATCTTCATCCCAAAATCAATTTATGGATACCAAATTTTGACTTTAGGCCACTAATTAGCTTAGCTGTTACAAGAAATTCGAACAATACCTGAGTTACTTCCCCTTTTTTAGGTAGTTCAAGAACAGGGGTTGCCTGAAGTGCTTGATTGTTGTTACGAATGTCTTTGATTTGATCATGTATT